ATGCAATAGCATCAGAACAAATGAGGTACTTAGACACAGCTTTGACAAAGGAGGTGAAAGGCTTAACACAATGGAAACTACAAACTATTGCTGAAAGAAATTAAAGATCTAAATACATTTTTAAAATCCCATATTCATGTAATATAAAACCTAAAGTGGCAATATTCCTCGAAGTGATCTACAAATTCAATGCAATTCCTACCAAAATCCCAGTAGCCTTTTTTTCAAAATGGAAAATTTGATCCTAAAATTTATGTGGAATTGCAAGAACAGACGAAGTGAAAAACAAATCAAACAAACAAAATCCCCCCAAAGTTGGAGGACTCAAACTCCCAATTTCAAAACTTACTACAAATATAAGGGCACTAATCCCATTTGTGAGGGCTGCACCCCATGAATAACCCGTGAGAGACCCCATCTTCTAATAACATCGTATTGGGGGGGCAGTCTACAGCACAGCTCAATTTAAAAACTAGCAGAGGATGTGAATAAACATTTCTTCCAAGAAGATACACTAATGACTACCAAGCACAAAAAGAAGTTCATTCAAAATCATTGAGCATTAGGGAAATGCAAAAACAACAACACACACACAAATACCCCAACTACAATGAGACACCACCTCACACCCACGAGAACGGCTCTAACAAAAAAAAGCAGCGAGCATGGAGAAGGATGTGGAGCAATGGGAGCTTGCGTGAATTGCCGGTGGGAATGGGAGATGGTGCAGCTGCTGTGGAAAAGTTTGTCAGCTCCTCAGTAAGTTAAACACAGAACTATTGTATGACTCAGCCATCCCTCCTGGGTACGCACCCACGAGATCTGAAAATGCACGTCTGCCCAAACCGGCACGGCAGGGTTCACAGCTGTGCCACTCACAACAAAGACCAGGTGAACACAGACCAGCGTCCGCGGCTGATGAAGGGCGGAGCAAGTGCGGCACATCCGCGCGGTGGATGCTGTTGGTCATCGAAGATGCATGAGGTACCTGTGCTTGCTCTGGCAGCACGCACGCTGACATTGGAATGATGCAGAGAAGATTAGCATGGGCCTGTGCAAGGAGGACTTGCAAATTTGTGGAGCGGTCCACATTAAAAAAAAAACATGAATGAAGTACGTGCCACAGCATGGATGAACCTCACACACATATTGAGTAAAAGCAAAAAAAGAAAAATGAAAAAAAAAACCCCAGACACAATAGACCACGTGTTAGATGATTTGATTTATATGAAAAGCCCAGCAAAGAAAAATGAAAATCAGCTCAGAGAGGTGATTAGTGGGGCGTGGGGGGGGGGACGAGACTGGCGGCAAACAGGTTGGGGGGGGGGCTTTTTTTTGTCGGGGGCTAGAAAAGGCAAAGGAAGGCTTAATCTTAACACTTAAAAGAGGTTTTTTTAGAGACAAAGAATAATGGTATGCGCATTTATGATGTCTTACTTTCCCTGGAAAAATATTGCGTCATGATTTTTGTGACGTTATGTCTTTCAACTAAACAGCACACTGAAGGAAACCAAGAGGGAGCAACTAACTGGAGGCGGGGGCTGGAGGCGGGGGCTGGAGGCGGGGCTACCGCCAGCCCGCTGGGGCATGCCCTGCAGACAGTCCTCTGAAGCTGCTCCGTGAGCAAATCGTAGCTGTGAAGACATTCCAAGTGGCTTCCAGGAGGCGGCCACGTGTGCCGACAGCCCTGTGGACAGAGCAGTCTGGCTGGCCACCTCTCAGGACAGGTGTTGTCCAGAGTTTCCTGGAGCTGAGGGGCAAAGGGTTTGAAATATACCTTTGCTCTTTTGGCCATTTCATTTCCACCCCGTCTGGGGCTGTGGATAATTTGGGGGGCCTGGGAATAAAGCTGTCCACTACTGGTGAAGTGACAGATGGACTGAAATGGGAGAGTGGGCTGGGCTCAAGGAAAAAACAGGGACGGGTGGATGGGTCCAAGAAAACAGAACCCCCTCCACCTCAGCAGTGGGGTGAGCTTTGCAAAGCCTTCTGCATCATATAGGAGGGTCTTTTGGGGAATGTTCTATAATTCTACGGCGGTGGCGATGGCACAAGTCAGTCACTTACTAAAAATCTTTGAATTGTTTAAAGTCATTGAAATTTTGTGCTATGTAAATTACACCTCAATAAAACTGTTAAAATAAAAATAAAAAAGAGGAAACGGGTTGAAGGAGGGGTGTCCAAATATTTCCCCCTCCCCCAGACCTCTTGGCTGAAATGCACATTTAACTACTTCCTCCCCAGTGACCGGCTCTAAATACTAAGGGGTGTTGGGAGGGTGTTAAGAGATCCGATCACGTCTTCCTTCTGAGATCTTGGGGACCATGCTCATGAGACATACACAGACCTGAAGGGACCCCTCAAAGGACCCTTCCCTCAACACAGATCTATTTCCGAGGGGACCCATGTTCACCCCACTAGACGTGGTAGCTGTTAAATGTTACCTTTTGAAAGTATCTACTTTTTAAACGCAAGCGAGTGCATTCTGCCTACTCACTAAATTCTGACTTGAGCACTCTTGAAAATGTAAATTGGATAGAGGCCCTCCTCCCTGGAACCAAATCTGCCTTCCTTGCATTGTCCTGCGAGGTCCCGTGTGGTGTGCAGGACACGTGACTTCTGTGACCCTGGCCCCTGGCATTCCTTTGCTGGCGCACTCTGGCCTGCTGCTGCATTCGCAGGTGCCTGCAGTGAGCCGCGTTGCCCCGAGCCCAGGGCCTCTGCGCTTGCAGTTCCTTCTGCCTGAGATGTCTCCCTGTGGCTGGGTCCTGCTCGCCACCCAGCGTGCCCCGGAATGCCTCTACCTTGACCTCTCATTGGTTTTCTGTGACAACTAGTTCAGTTTCTATGATAACTTGTTTGGTCTGTCCATTATGCCTTTGTGTTTTCTGCTTCCCACTAGGGTACAGGATCTAGGAGGCTGTTACTTGTATGTATGTATGTCTGCGGGCGTCCCCAGTGCATACTCAAGGGACTGCTCAGTGTCTGTGGGTAGAAGTCGAGAAGGAGACAGAAGAGACGGTTGTGTGTGTGGGCGGGCAGAGGAGTAGATGAGTGGGCAGGTAGAGAGAAGGGAAGGGAAGGGATGGAGACGGGCAGGCAGTGGGAGGGAGGGAGGGGGGCAGGCGGAAGGGAGGAGCGATCGAATATCCCTGGGCTGACGCACATCCAGAAGCAGAGCCGTGAGCCATCGAGAACATGGGCTCAGAAACCCAGAATAGTTCAATCCCTATTCTGCCACTCACCAGCTGAGTGACCTTGGACAAGTCCCTTCACCTCTCTGAGCCCCAGTTTCCTTATCTGTAAAGCAGAAATGACGATGATGACGGCAATCATAACTATTTTCTTGAGATATTATCAGTGAGATGATGTACCCTTAAAGTCCTTGGCACAGAGTAAGCTTTCAGCAAATGTTAACTTTATTTTACTATTCCTTCTCTGGGTCTTTCTTCCATCACCACAAATAACCGATTCATGGTATCAGAAAACTCACTCTAAGGTAAAAAGAAAGGGGAAAAAAAGCTGGCTTTTTTTCCCAAGATCTGTTCTCCACGGAGTGTGTGAGATTTCGGTAGCAGAGGAGAGAACTTCCACAGGGCAAACATCCCTTCACATCAGTCACAGGGGAATTTGGACCAAGTTCCTCAAAAACATGTAGAAAAAGAAAAAAAATGGAAGAAATAAATAACAAGATGCTTTCTCTTTTTCTTCGGAGCCAGTCATGTGGGTCAGCTGCAAAGTGTTTCCCCAAAATGAGTCAGCAGGGAAAGAGACGGCATATGGGTTTGAGCCGACCTGCGTCATCAAAAGAGCACAGAATAGCCCCTGTCCACCCTGGGGACCTCTGGTCCCCGTTCGAGCCCATCTCCACAGGCTGCTGCAGGCTGAGGAGTCAGGCACAGCACAGTTCAGCCCCCAGCTGTGACACTTCTTAGTTTGGGTGGCATTTCAGCCTGCTGAGCCTTGGCTTCTCCACCCGTAGAATGGGAGCAATCTCATCTGCCTCACAGGGTTTGTGGGGTAAAATGGGGTCCCCTAGCCGCCTACAAAAGGTGAAAGAGTAACAGTTGCAACAGCAGCGGCCATTCTCTCACCCTCTTCAGGCGGCCGGGTGTGAGTTCGCTGCACTTTGTTCCCTGGCTTCTTCCAGGGTCTGCCAGAGACAGCCCGCCTTCCCACAGGCCCCCGGCTTGTCAGCAAGACGAAACTCTCTTTAGGATTCTTTCCTCTATCTTCCTCTTCAGTTCCCCTGTGTTAATAATGGCTGTGCCCCAACCCCCCCTGCCATCCCCACCCCCTGGCCCTGTGGCTAGGTGTTCCCATTCAACAGATAGGCAAAGGGAGGCACTCGGAGAGATGGTCTTCTCAAGGGCGAGGAGACAGGGTCCTGCTCCCTGCAGCACGACAGCAGGGGGTTGCATTCAAAGGAAACATGACCGAGGAGTCTGGGAGGGGGTCCCAAACTCAGGCCTCTACGGGGCCAGGCAGGCAGCATGCCTACGTGAGACAGACGAGGCTGCAAACTCTGGAAGAGGGGCTGCGGGGGGTGGGGTCACCACCACCGCCCCACCGCGGGACCTGGGCCCTTAGTGTCTCTGAGGTGAGAGGTGGACCCTCAGGACCAGCAGGCGCCCAGTCCAGCTATGGCAGCGCTGCACCACCACTCTGAGCCTCAGTTTCCACATATGTGAGAAGCGGTGGTTCAAGGCTGCTCTGCCTGCCTTATAGGTCATGACCTTGAGGCAGATGTCAGTCACCCTGGTAACCTCAGGCTGCCCTGCCTGCCTTAAGGGTCATGACCTTGAGGCAGATGTCACCCAGTTGCCTGGAATGTTTTCCTAGCAGGTGACCTTTGAATAGCAGTGTGCCCTGTCTGGGGGCTGGGCTCCCTTCCACTTTTTTCTCACTCTCTCTGGGGAGGAGCCAGCTGCTCTGTGGGCGGGGCCGGTGGGGAGCTCTCACCACATCCTCCTCCTCCTCCTCCTCCTTCCTCTCCACCCTGCACACACTCTGGGCCAGGGGTGGCAGCCACTGCCTCTGAGAGACCACTGGTGTCTCTGCCGCGGGACTGACGGGCTTGGGTTCGGATGTCTGCCCGCTTCTCCCTGGGTGTAGCTGACAGCCTGCCCGCCTGCCTGTGTGTTGGTCTCTGTGTGTTTGTCTGGCTGGCCTCCTGCCTGTTCTCTTGACTTCTCCTGTCTGCCTGCCTGCCCAGCCGATCGAGTGGTCCCTGTCGCACAATGACTACCTTCTCTCCACGTGTGACCTCTTTGGGGCGTGACTGACCATTGCCTGGCTTGCCTGCCCAGAGCCCAGCTTCCGTCTGTGCAGGTGACAGGCTGTTCGCCCGTCTGGCAGGCTGTGGGCTCCCACCCCAGACCCCTGCCTGTCCTCTGAGACCCTCATCCCCCACCCTACACTGAGCTGCCGCCCCTGGGACCCCACTGGATTGCCCCAGACACCTGGAATGGATTTCTGAGGGAGAAGCTGGACTAGCAGGTAACCGGGCTCTAGCCACCTTTTCTACCCAAGAGGGCCCAGGCCCTGCCTGAGGAGGAAGGCGCAGAAGGTCCTGCACCCTCATCACGACTGGAGACAGGGAGTGAGGCCAGCAGGGTTGGGGTCGGGTTTTGCTCAGGGAGACGGGAGGGCCTTTGTGTGGGTCTGCTGGAGGCCTGAGGGCCTGAGGGCCTGGGGCTGTGGCATCACTGAGATGACCCCAGAGCTGTCTGTGAAACCAGCCTCCAAAAGGCGAGGGGCTAGAGAGGGAAAGCTGGCTCCAGATAGAACACGACTCGACAGTCCTCGTGGTTCTGGGCAGCTGAGCTAGGCAGGGGGGACATGGGTGTGACTGCGTGACCACTGCTAGGGGACCCATTTTGGGGGTGGGTGACAGGCATCGACTTTGTGCCAGCTTCTGTGTTCTAGCTCCTGTATTTTATGTAACCCTTCAAAACAAGTTGGTGTGCCCATTTCATAGACAGGGCACACCAACAGAACTGAGGCTCTGAGAGGTAGAGTGACTTTCCCAAGGTGACTCAACCACTACGTGGCAGGGTAAGCAGGTGACTCGAGGGCTGGTCCTGCCCTCCACATGCTGTCTCCTCATCTTTCTCATGAAAGCACGGGGAACAGCTGACGGTGAGGGGCGACTGGTTCCGTGTGAGCACAAGGAGGAGCGGAGAGCGCGGGGACAGGAGGCCACGGCTGAGTCTTGAAGGGCGCCTTGATTTCTGACTTGTGAATGAATGGAGAGGAAGGAAGGAGCGGGCAGACGCGTTCCTGGCGGAGGAGCTGGGACAGAAAGCTGCTGGAGTGGGGACTTAGGACTTGTGGAAGGAGTGGCAAGTGGCTGCTCGGCGGGAGCAGGTCACCCGGGGCAGGGGGTGCTGCTCTGGGGCCGCTCTGGGGCTGCGTTCCCCTGGGGGAAGTGCAGGGGTTTCAGAAGCACATGGCAGAGGGGGAAAACCTGGTGAGTTCAAAACCCAGCCATGCGGCCTCCTCGCTGGGCAAGCTTGGGCAAATCTCTGCACCTGTTTTAGCTGTATGGAGCCACTGTGTTCTCATCTGTAAAATGGGAACAAAAGCAACTCCATCCTTGTGGGACTGGTTGTGAAGATTCGAAGTTATAAAAAAATGAAAGGTGCCTGCTGGAGCCCTTCCCAGGAAGGGAATTTGCATCACGAGGAACCTGGAGCTCAGGGAGGAGAAGGGCCACTCTCCAAGAGCAGGAGAAGGTGCAGGCCGCCCTCAGGAACCTGCAGCCTTTCCTCTTTCATTCCCAGGGTCTGGTGCTGCTGGCATTGGCTCAGCCTGCTGCAGGCACTTGAGGGTCTCCCACAATCCTCCCAGCCCGGGGGAGGCTGCGGCCTCATTTGGCCCACTTCGCAGATGGGCCTGTGGCTCTCTGGGGCAAACCTTGCCCCAGGCCCACTGTGACTGTAAGATGCAGAGCTGGTGTGGACCCCCAGTTTGTTAGGCAGCAAGGCCACAACCTGCTGGACAGGACAACATAAAAGTAAGACACATAGTCCTCAGGTACCTCCTGAGAGCGGGCACTGGGTCAAGGGGGCTGGGCAGACCCCAGAGCATCGGCCCTGATTGTCTGTTCCCTGGGGCGGGCTCAGCAGAAGGCCTGGTACTGCCCACCCTACGCCTGGCAGGGCGTCTGGGGCCTGATAGCCCGTCAGTGGAAGAAGCTAGGAGCACTTTTGTTAGGAGGTGGCCGAGATGCAGGGCCAGGACAGTGGGGCAAACAAGGCACAAGCTGAGCTCTCAGCGGCGCTGCAGGCTGGCACCTCCCAAGAGTAGCAGAGAGGGGGGTTGGAGGTGGGGGTTGGAGTCTCTAAAGGGTTGTGGACAGTGAGTGGAGGCATGCTGGGTATGGAGGCCAGTTCAAGAGGAGGTGGAAAGAGGAAAGCAGGCCACCAGAGATCCTGTGGGCACCAACTTCTCTGCAGCATCACGATCTTCCTGGTGCCTGATTTAAAAAAGAAGAAGAAAAAGAAGGAAGAGCACCCCTCCTTCCACAGCCAGGGAGGGGAGCCAGTGCCTTCACGGTCAGGCGGGGGCCCTGCACCTGGCTTTCCTGCGCACCGCAGGTTGTGGTGTGGGGCTTCGGGATAAGCTGGACCTGGGTGTGGGTCCCAGCTCCGTCACCAAGTACCTGCGTGACCCTGAGTAAGCCATTGGCCTTGCTGAACCTCAGCTTCCTCCTCTGTTACATGGAAATAAGAACACCTTCTTGGGCTTATTGTGACATCTTGTTCAATGCATTTTTATTGCGCACCTACTGTGTACCAGGGACAGTCCCGGGTCCTGGGGCTGCCGCAGCACCCAGACAGACGGAGCCAGCTGTGGCGAGGAGGGAAGGGCATGGCAGTGGCTCCCAAGAAACAGTAGCTGTGGTGTTTTGCTTTCAGTATTATCGGCAATAATCATGTTGTTATTAGCTAGGATACCTGGCATATGCTAAACCCTCAGTATATGAAAGCTTTTATCATGATTCTACTCCCCACTCCACAGATGGGGAAACTGAGGCTGGAGAAGGGTGGGGTTTGCCAGGGCCCCTCAGGCAGTCATTTACAAGCAGGGGGAAGGAAGCTGTGGAGGCAGGAGAACAAGCGCTTCCCAGTGGCCCCTTCCTCACGTGCTCCTCCCTGACCTGCCCTCCAAACTGGAGGGGTGGGGAATGGGGGGGGAGGAGTCCCACCTCCACCCTAGACTCACAGGTGCCACCCCCCACTCCTTACCCTGGCCCCCAGCCAAAGGGACTTTTTATGACAGCTCAAATGAGAGCTCTGAGTAAACTTGGAAATTCTGAAGCAACCTGAGAATGTTCACTTCCCCGGGGTGTGGGCAGAGGACACCTGCAGCAGGGACCCAGCCTGCTGGTCCCCACAGTCCCCAAGGAGGGTCTGGTTATGCAAATTGTCCCCAAGGAAGTTTGGCAAGTGCACCAATGAGGCTCCCTGCTCAGACCCTGGTCCCTCCTTGCTGTGCAACCAGGGGCAAGACCCTGGGTGTCTCTGGGCCTCCGTTTCCCCATCCACCAGAAGCCCTGATGATATAGACTGGGATTGGACGTGCAAACTTTCTCCAGGGCAAATCAGTCCCATTCATGTTATTTGGCGAGGGCCAGGGCAGGCTTGTGGGGGCCTGCTGGGCAAGGAGAGGATAAAGGCAGGTTGCCAGACTTGCTCCAACCCTCCCCTTGTGGCCTCAAGCAATTTTGGTTTAAAGCATTTTAAATTTTTCTGCCTTACAACCAGCCCCTCCTGCTCTGGGCAAAATGGAGCTGGAGTGAGACGTGGCTGCAGGAGCTGAGCGGGGCTGCCGGGCTGGGCGACGTCACCCAGCCCGATGGAGACTGTGGGGTGGTCAGGGACTGCACAGGCAGGGAAGGTTGCTGGGAGCGGGACAAGGCTTCTCAGCCTGAGAGGCCACACAGGCTGGCAGAAGTTCCAGCAGGGAAAGGCTGCTCATGTCCTTGTCATGGACAAGGACTCTCGGCTGGGCTGGGAGGGGGCGAGGGAGACTGAATGCTTCCGTTGGGGGCTCAAGGCTGTGCGCACTGGGAGGCAGGCCCTGCCCTGCCTCTCCCACTCGGCTCCGCAGATGAGGCTTTAACACCATGTCCCGGCGTACCTGCCCTCAGACCCACCACGCACCCCTCGTCACTGGCAAAAAACAAAAGTAAAAGGAAACTAAAAGTATTCATACACCTATGGTGTGCTCAGCACCTGCCTCACACTCCCTCACGAGGCCAGGGCACGGGGCACTGCCCCGTTCTAGAGATGAGGGAAACTGAGGCTCAGAGAAGGGAGGAGATGCGCTCCGCGTCCAACCGTGAGTCAGCGGTGCAGCCTTCTTTTGACCCTGGGCCACCTGGCTGGTTCCTCCCCAGACTGAGAGCTCCCCTTAGGTACGAACTAGCTGCTGGACCCTGGGCTACCCGTCAGTCCTCCAAAAGTTCCTTGTGACTGCTCTGATGACAGCAGTCACAGTCACTCAGACCCTGGAAACAGAGGGTGCTGCCCAGGGTGGGGGAAGTTCCTGGGGACTGTGATGAAGCTGGTGGGGAAACCGAGACCTTTTGGGGGTTGCCTCAGGCCACTCCTTGTATGACTGGACGCCACAGTTCTCAGCCTCCCGCACTCACTCCCATTCTGCTTCAGCTGCTCGTTAGTGCCTGCTGTGCTGCAGGCCCCAGCCTACACACGGGGTGGTGGTGAGCAGCGCAGGCAAAGCTCCCAGCCTCTGGGAGCGCTTGCTCCGGGGCAGAGGAGGTCACAACTACAGAAACAAGAACCTGTGCTAGACCAATCCTAGCTTCGCAACGGTGAGCAAGGACACGGACAAAGGGGTGTGGCACAGGGAACTGCAGCTCGGGCCAGGCCCGTCTCCAGCAGAGCAGACTGCTTCTCTGAGGAGGCGACGCTGCAGTGGAATTCTGAGGAGGACAAAGCCATGAGGCCCAGGGAAGTGCTCTAGGGTGGGGGTGGCACGTGCAAAGATCCTGAGGTGGGGGGAAAGTTGGAGCCTTGGTGCTTTTGTCCTCACCAAGTACATAAAGGTCCTCATTGCAAGGAATTTAAGAAAGAGGGGTCAAAAACAGTAAGATTTAACTTTGAAGTATAGTCTACAGAGGATTTACCATTGAGGTCAAGCTTCAAGATTGGTTAGGATAGAAAGCATACTCTTTCATTTAGTCACTCATGTAACAAGGGTTTGCAGCACCTATGTGTCATGCACTGGTCAGCCACTGGGGATTCAGCAAGCGGCCGAGAAACACACGGCCCCTGGCTGGGGCGTGGCTCAGAATGTCCTAACAACACCATGCACGAGTGGTGTATTCTGGTGGAGGGACAGACCCCAGAGGAAGGAGTGACTCATACTCCTAGGGGAGGTCAAAGGCTTACAAAGGAGATGACATTTGAACCGGGTTTTAAAGACTGAGTAGGAGGCCGACAGTCAGCCAAGGTGGGTGGAGAGTGCCC